ACGGGGACATGAGAGAAGCCTCCCACAGGATGGTAAAACATCCGGGTGTCCCCTGGGCAAAGCCCTTGCAAACGGCCAGTTATATCAGAAGTGACATGATGATGAAGATGATGATAGTTTATTATCCACCTCTCCTTGGAACTCAAAGTGGGGTACAACATAGCTAAAACATTTAATGGTTCCTTTTTCAAAATGACAATTTGACATTTTACATTAAGGATATAGCAATATTCTCCTCTCTTTTTTCTTTCTTTTTTTATAACATCACAGTTTCATAAAACCTCCAGGTTGCTCTTTTCACAGTTCTAAAAGGTGCAATTTCGATATTGCAGTCCTAGACACAGTCTTTTCACACAGACACACTGGTTGCATAGCCAGGGAAGTTAGAACAAGTGATCGTTTAATATGCTTGTTCCATGAGCTTGCTAATACGTTTCAATAGGACACAGGAGCGTTTCAAACAAGTTACTCCTCTAATCCCAGTGAAAAGCATGGACAGGGGCTTTTAGATCTTCCCCACTGAAAGATCTGTGAACCCCAGGGATTATCATGTTGAAGGAAATAGTGATACCCACATATTATCTTCCATCAGATACGGAAGGACAAATCACTCACCTTTCTTTTCCCATCTGCTTTGTTGAACATATGACCCCACTATACTCAAAGTCAATGTTGTTTTTCACACATCCTGTTTCTCACAACTTGATGTGCTTCAGGCAAAAAAAGTAGTTTAAATCTAACTGACACTGCAGTTGGCAGGATAATTTCAGTCATAAGGAAGACTTAGCCTATTTGTTTCTTAACAGGAAGCAGCGCAGGGGGAAACCAAATACAACAACTTGACTTAAGAGTTTAATTTGTTCTGTGACCAAGCTCTTACACTCTTATCTCAAGGCAAGTTTCCCATTGAAATGCTATTAATCCATTCCGGGGCCCCACCCCATGTACTTTATAAATTACAAATAATGTATAAATGCATATTCACATGGAACAATAAAAAGAAAGATCAACTTTAAAATGGTAGAAGTACAAAGTCCTGGCACAATGGTAGAAGCACAAATTTGTGGCATAGAAGCTCAAAGCACCAAGTGAAGTGGCAGAAGCATCATTTTCTTCATAATTATACTTATTCCAGCCTTCCTCCATCTCCCTCCTCACGAAACCAAACATCCCAGGAATGAAAACCACACAAAATCAACTAACCCAGAGTTCCCCAAAGTGGACAAGAGAAGAGCAGACAGCAATCTCCCAAAGCAGACAAGAGCATGAGGCATGGAGGCTGCTCCCTTGAGGCTCTAAAACCCTGCAGTAGTGCTCCCTCTGATGCAAGCTTTTAACTAAAACTCAGCTCTTATGTCAGAGTAAAACCTGGGCTAAGCAATGTCTCTTAACTCAAAATTCTTTTAATTTGGGGTGCTCTTAAGGTGAGGTTCCAATGTACTGAGATCATGCTTAGCTTGTCTGTACAGTGACTTCTCAGTACTGTTTTTTTTTTTATTCTACCTTCTTTACCTTTTCTCGGTGACTTTATAAGTAAGTGTACATATATTTAGTCAGCATCAATCTGAGAGATAACATCTGAAATGTGCTATAGTATCTGGCTCCCCAGCACAGAAATATTTCCCCTTGGGCAGTTTAATCCTGTCTGGAGCCAAGAAGTTGGTGTATTAAAAGCAGAGCATGAGACTCCGCAGTCAGATAATACAATCAGTGGCAGTGATTCAGCCCGAGTGAGTGCACTTGCTTAGCTACAGCTCCTCTGCAAACTTATGCAGATACAAGATAAGGCATAATACCAGCAGCTGCCATCCTCATACCTTATATTTCAAGTAAAAAATTGTTTATGCACTGGATAAATCTCAACTTTTTAGATAGGAAAAAATCCTAAATAGAGGCAAATCAGGCTATATTTTGCAGTTCCCTCTGCTGAGAAGCTGGTGGAAATACATGAGCACTGTGGAGAAAAGCTCATCCTAAATGAATGGCTTTCCACTTTCATCTTTGCCTGCATTAAAATTATGCCCTGCTAGCATGTTCAGCACTGGCAGGGAATAATGTTCCACAGATATCTTTGTGTGGAAGGCCGAGAAGTACAGAATGCCAGCAGCAGTGATGACCTCCCCAATAGCTGTTTCAGACAGAGTTGTGCCTGATAGCAACCAATCTTTGGTTCATTGTGCTGTGGACAAAGGAGAATTGCTTGTGAAAGGGGCCACTGCATATCTCCTTATATGCATACGTGCAAGTATATCCACCAACATACCTTAAAGCTATGCCACAGTATTAAACTATTAGAATTCCAGCTATTGGTTTTGGCTTACTATTTTTGTCATCCCTTTACATAGAAAACTTTCTCCCATGTGGTTCATGCTGCAAATTACACCAAGGAGGGAAGGGGTAAAGACTCATGCACCACTTCTAATTGTAATTTCCTTCGTCACACATTTTATAGCAGCATTGGTAGCATTTCCTCATGGAAATGCTCAAGGCCACATCTGCCTAGACCCATGATGGCAAACCAATGACATGCATGTCAGCACTGGCACGCATAGCCATTTTTGATTACATGTGGCTGCATGCGGCCATGTACAGAGAAGTATGGGGCTGTGTGCCAAGAAGGACATTTCATCCTCAGCTCCTGCACCAGCAAATGCAGGAGCCGAGGATGAAACATTTGCTATAGTGTCATGTAGACACCTTGTCCTGGAGGTCTGTAGGCCAAAACAACAGAACAGAGCGTCTAGTTCTGGGACTTCCGGTTAGGCTGTTATGGGATCTTTGACCTCACTTCCAGCCAGTGGAGCAGCAATGGAATGGTGCAGGAGACGCATCTCTGGGGGCCAGCAACCACATAACTACAGCAGTCATCTTCCAATCTACTGTTCTGGTGTGTCGTGGATTTCTAATTGACCATCATTACTGAGATAAGTGATGGGGAGGCTGGGAGAGGTGAGGGCCTATGCTATGAGTGCCATTTCCCACCATTAGAAATAGTAGCAGCCATCTTAATCACTAAGAGGTTAAGTTAAATTAGTTTTTGGCTTATTAAATACAATATATATTAAACTTATACATTTTTGTTATTTAAACTATAAATATTGTGAAATTATGGTCTTTTTCTCCAAGTGACACCCTGCCTTAGTTATGCTCGGTTTTTTTGAGAAGTTTGACACACCAAGCTCAAAAGGTTGCCCATCACTGGCCTAGACTAGTGGATCACTGCTACAGCTTCTGCCACTGCAACAAATCTCATATAGATGCCCACATTTCAACATTTTTCATCCCACCTGCAAACAGCAGGTGGGAATGAATGGAGTTTGGCTTACCACCCAGTGAGCCGTTTTGATGCAGCAAGTCCCATAGCTTTTGAATAAATAGTATAAAGAAAGACAAAAAGAACTAAATGGTAACACCAATATTCAAGACCACACAAGGTGTATGGTGGCCACTGCTCACCAACAAGTCTGTCACAGGTGGCGGTTGAACAAAAACATAATGCATCTTCCATTGGGGTTCATCCCTATAAACAACTGGCTATAATAGTGAAATGATAACGTTACCTTGCGTTGCACAAATGTTGAGCACTCACTCAATGAAATAAAAAAAGTATTCTGCGGATGAATCCCTGGCCTGAACTAAACCTACCCTCCATAGCATAGGAACTACTTCCACAGAAAGGTCCCTTCCACTGATGGAGATCCTACATATAGTGCAGTTTTTCTCAACCTGGAGGTTGGGACCCCTGGGGGAGGGGGTTGAAAGGGGGTGTCAGAGGGGTTGCCAAAGACCATCAGAAAACACAGTATTTTCTGTTGGTCATGGGAGTTCTGTGTGAGAAGTTCGGCCCAATTCTATCGTTGGTGGGGTTCAGAATTCTCTTTGATTGTAGGTGAACTATAAATCCCAGCAACTACAACTCCCAAATGTCAAAATCTGTTTTTCCTAAACTCCACCAGTATGCACATTTGGGCATATTGAGTATTTGTGCCATGTTTGGTCCACATCCATCATTGTTTAAATCCATAGTGCTCTCTGGATGTAGGTGAACTGCAACTCCCAAATTCAAGGTCAATGCCCACCAAACCCTTCCAGTATTTTCTGTTGGTCATGGGAGTTCTGTGTGCCAGGTTTGGTTCAATTCCATCATTGGTGGAGTTCAAAATGCTCTTTGATTCTCTTTCATTGTAAGTTAACTATAAATCCCAGCAACTACAACTCCCAAATGACAAAATTGAATCCCTCCCCCCAACCCCACCAATATTCAAATTTGGTCATATCAGGTGTTTGTGCCAAATTTGGTACAGTGATTGAAAATACACTCTGCATATCAGATATTTCCATTACTATTCATAACAATAGCAAAATTACAGTTATGAAGTAGCAACGAAAATAATTTTATGATCGGGGCAGGGGTCACCACAACATAAGGAACTGTATTCCAGGGGGTTGAGAAGGGCAGGGTGTAAATACCCAAAATAAATAAATAAATAAAATATTAAGGGGTCACAGCATTAGGAAGATTGAAAACCACTGATATAGTGAATAGGCCTGACCTAGGCACCGCACCAGAGGCAGGGCCAGCAGCCCAGACCTACTCCTTCATTAACATACAAGCATCCTACTTGCATCTAAGCACATTAATAGTGCTTGTCAATGTCTGCTCTGTGAGTTATCGAAGCCCAAGACAGCTTCCTTATTACAAGCTGGCTGCCAAAATGTATGTCAGGGTTTTCTTTTGCTTTGAATGTGCTTCTTGCTTTGCTGAATATCCAGTTTGGGACCTCAGCACAACGGGTGTTGTTTTTCATTAACACGTTTTTCTTGTGATTGAAATTTGAAGAGAGCAACATGAAAGACACTTCCTCTTTGTTAAGCATTTTCTTCTCCTTAATCATGCCGAGATTTCCCATGAATAATGTGTGCTGTAATTATTACCTGCAGGTCTGTAGTGCCTTGGCGAGCTGCTCCTAAAAGGGAATTTCTTTTTCATTGAATTTCAGATGTCCAAGAACAAAATTATAACCACCTGATACTAAGCACTGCAAACCAGACACCTTCACATGGTAAGAGAACAAACAAATGGAGTTCAAAGTTACTAATGCTGTAACTTCTCTCTTTCTACCAGTAATCAATTTACTGGTACAGAATCCACCAATATCAATAGACTATTTCATGGAATTACACTTGCGGGAGAAATATGTATTCTATTGATACTCTTGTGTGTCCAGTCATGTTGCCAACCATAGGCAAGCTTAAACATGGCCAATTCTTTCATATGCAGCTAGCAGGGCTTTGTTCTGTGTTTCCTTCTGTCCATAATCTGTGGCTGTCTCCCTCAGCTGCTCTCATAGACCGTCTTGCTTTGTAGTGTCTTCTTGGTCATCTAAAGATGCACAGCGAGAGGAGAATCTGCTTGCCTTGATAGGTCCCTTGTTTGCCTTAAAACCATATAATCCACAAATGTCAGTGCTCTGTTGACGCCTCAGTGTCCATCCATCAGTTGAATTGTCTGATTTTATTTACAGCTTTTGCCAAGATGTAATCAACGGCAAGTTCAAAGCTCACAGCCAGCTGTTCAGAATACACAGCCTGGAGGAATGCAGATAGCTGATCTGGACGGACTGTCATTAATCTCTACACACCAATAGTACAGCTAGAGATGGTGCTCAGAGTCAATTTCTAATCCATGTCTGTTTCTCATATGCATCCACACATCTTATCCATCAATCCAATTTAGAATAACACAAAATATACTTTTATCTTTGTACATAATAAAATATTCTTGCACATAATTTTCTTAGCATGCGTATTTTCCATAGTATATTTTTTGTAAACCATTCTCTTCAATATAGTTATATTTATATAAATCTTTCCCTAATATGTCTTGTCTATAGCTTTCCCTAGTATCTGCAACTGTTGAGCTGAGGACTGCATCACATCATCAGTGAAATGAGCAGTCCAATAGCTGACAGTTTTCTGAACTGCATACTAGGGCAGGAATTGTGAATTAGCTTAGTTCCTGTTAAAATACAAATCGTTAGGGATTTGGTGCATTTTTAAAAATGCTTACCACTCCAGTTTGTGTGTGTGTTCTTTCTTTGCGTATTTTTCATCTTCAGAGTGCCAGATCTCTCATCTTTTATTTCCAGCTAACAATTGTAACCAGCTGAGTTAATCGACTTATATATTATGGGCCTCTGAAAGTCTGTCTTTTTTTATTGAATCTCATTGTCCTAACCTAAGACCTAAAATCCTCCTTTTTTTCTTTTCTGTGTTTCTTATAGTGGTAGATTTTCTTGTCCCTGATGTTTCCTTCAAAATCAAAGGGTGCTTTTTCATCTGACTTCTCCTTTATTTGCCCATCTCTTCTTAGTACCTCTTCAGCTGACAACTGTGGAATCTACTAGAGAACTTTCTGCCTCTCCCTCCCCCCACCCCACACTCACCAACTCCCACCCACAAGCATTTGTTCACATCGCTCCTTGTTCTCAAACCTAATATAAAAAGAATGGAGCTTTTGTCTTTCTCTGTCTCTTTCTCACATACCATCACATAAGCACATGTTTATATGTGTATATTCAGGTGTGTCAACTTATAGCAAAATCATGAATTTCTTAGGGTTTTCTTAGGGAAGGAATACTCAAAGGTGGCTTTTCTAGTTCCTTCCTTTGAAATATATCCTACAGTACCCGTTGTTCTCAGATGGTAGCCCATTCAAGTACTAACCAAATCTGGCCCTGCTTTGCATCCAGGATCAAGCAGGAACTGATACCTTCGGGCTATTTTGCTCCTGCATTCACATATTTCACATACGTACATAATTTTAAAATAAATAAGTCCACAAAATCAAATCTCATCTCGTCAAACTTCTCTATTCGCTTTTATTTTGTTGGGTTTATCTTGTGCTTTGCAGAAACCCAAAAACTTATCCTGCATCTTGGTTGTTCCCAATTCTTGGTCTTGTTTCTTCTTCCTCTGCCTTTTTGCCATGTTTCCCATAGGACTGTTAGGGTAATTGCTTTCTTTGTATGACCCCTTTACAATAGCACTAATATGTTAGGGTCTATAGGTTAGCATGTTTGCCTTCAACTTGATAAAAATACAGCACATGAATCCTTTTCTCTTTTACTTTTCCTGTGTATGTGTATGAATGTGCTGTGTTTTTCTCTTCCTAGAACAGTGGTTCTCAACCTGTGGATCCCCAGGTGTTTTGGCCTTCAACTCCCAGAAATCCTAACAGCTGGTAAGATGCTTGGGATTTTTGGGAGTTGTAGGCCAAAACACCTGGCAACTCACAGGTTGAGAACCACTGCCCTAGAAAGATATTCTAGGTATTACCCACAGTAACTACAATATACCTTGTGATGGAGTCTGGATCAACTATACCTGAAAGTGTTTTGTATTTTAAACTGGGGTCTTCCTGGGTCAATGGCTTGGAAGAACAAGCAGCCTTGAAAAGTTTACCTTAACACTTTGCTAAATTATCTCCTTTATTGTAGAGCATTGGCAATAGTGATTTCTCCACTAAAATAGCAAGTCATTTTCAATAATGTGGTAACCCCAATATTTCTCCTTTCCATCAACCCTTACAAAAGAAGAAATGCCAGCAGCAAAATTGGCAGGTTATGTCTCACAGCAAGACCAAATATTGATGTTGTATGTGGAAGAAATCGGACAAGCAAAAAAGGCTAAGGTTTTTAACACCTTTCTTTAACAAAATCACTGTCAGAAACACCTCCAGCTTTTACAGTTATTGTGCAACAAGGAGCAGAGAGAAGAAGTAAACAAGAGGGCGTTTCAGAGGTAACCTAGGTATTTTTTTGCGGTCACAAACCACATAGTGTGAAATAAAGCTTTTGTTTGAAGTGGGCTAAGCTGGCCTAATCTGATGCTCCTACACAACGTCAAGGAAGCAGAGCAACTTTATACATTCACCGAGGTCGGATGGGTAGGATGACAAGTGGCCGAATTAAGTAATTTCGCCCACGTCTGCATATTTATCAAAGTCAGGAAGATAGTAGCATTTTGGGGGGGGGGGGGGAAGCAGAAGTTTGTATCCTTGGGTGCTGATGGAAACCACCAACATTCACAAAGTGGAATAGCTATAGATAGTTTTAGGAAAGGAGCAGGAATGCATCAAAAAGACAAGGTCCAGAGAAGAAATGGTGCTCACTGCAAGAACTCCACTTCCCACCTATAAGCCATAAACCTTTGTTAATTTCAACTTTTATCTAGTCGTTCTGGATGGTTTAAGGCAACTTTTCTCAACCAGGGTTCCCTAGTATTCTAAGATTCTGTAAAGTTATGGTTGAAAAAAAAATTAGCTGTACATGCAGTAATTTTTATTTAAACCTGAAAATTATTTCAAGGTATCCTTCATAGTACAAAGGTTGAGAAAGGCTAATTTAAGAGTTTTGCCTCCCTATTTCTTCTCTATTTTTTCATACTTTCCTATCTCTTTTCAATTATTCACCCTCTTTCGCTGTAACTATATCACCCTCTTTCGCTGTAACTATATCAAAACTCCAATAAAAAATATTTAAAAAAAAAAGAGTTTTGCCTCCCAATACTAATAAATATGCAGTCGTATACACAGGGGATAGATTCCCATACTTTGCAGGGGTATGTGAACTGTGTATAATAGTGAATCCCTATTGAAGTTAAGTACTTCTATCCCCAAATACCATAGAGTTACACTGAAGGAACTAGAAAATGTCCAGAGATGACATATTTTGTTGAACATAGATAAATGAAACCACAGATATGGGTGTTCTGTTGTATTTACTGGTGTTGAATGAGGAAAATGAAGGTAGCTATGTGTATAATACAGTAATACAGAGGTTAGCAAATGACCAAACTGAATGGTGGGAGGAGAAGAAGTAGAGGGGAATATTGCCTTTCTCATTAGATACAGTCAAGAGCAAACTGCTGCAGCCACAACTTGTGTTTTCTTCCTCATTAATAGCATTCTTGCCATCTTGACTACACTTGATACTGCATTGTTTCCATCTGTGAAATGTTAAAAGGTATGCTTAACTCCAAATCCTGTCCTATCTCTTTCTCAATCCCTTTTGTCATACTTGGAAAACAATTTTCCCTCCCGCTCCCCCCGCATTGATATTTTCCCTTTTTTTTTCTTACCCCACCATCTGCTGTTCCCAGTTCCTATTCCACTTTGCATTACAATAGAGCTCGAGCAAACAAACAAAAACTCAACATTTCAAAATCTATTGACTCTTCATAATTCAAAATTCAGGGTTTGTTGGTTTTCATATGGTTGTTGTTTTACACTGATGCCTGACCTCAAAATTCAACATTCATGAAGTAAACATTAGTATTGAGAACAGTTTGCGATTGAAATTCACAGGAGGAGAGTTTAGGAGGCAAATTTATTTCAGTTCTACTCAATGTTCTATATCTGCACACAAACAGGCTTAGATACGAGCATTTAAATCACAGGCCTGTGCTTCTTGTTGTTCAATTCCAGCTGGTCTCTTGTTTGTTTCCTTGTCACCCCCCTCCCCTGACACCCGTCTGAGTCTTTCACACTGTTTTGGACATTTTTGCAAGGATTTTATTATGAAGGAAGGAATGAAATGGATCCAGAATTACATCTTATTTTTCTTATACAACCTAATATTTTTAAGTGTTTGGGAAAACAATCCAAAAGCAGTCCATTTACTCACAATGGCAGGGGGTGTCTCCCATGTATGTGGGATGATGCATGTTTTATGTCTTTCTGAACTTTAAAGGACTTCTCCAAATTGCTGAATCTTATGTCCAAATTAGCTTCATTCCTTTGATTAAGTCTTTTAAATGTCAGTGTAAAACCCAGGACAGATAAACTGCCTGAATGACATGGGGACCATCAATTCCCAGGGCTTAGGACCTCATCACATTGGACTTCTGCTCCATCCTAGGACGCTCCTAGGACAGAGCCCATCATATGAAGCAGGGCTACTTCTGGCAGGGCTCCATCCTGGAAGCATCCTAGGATGGAGCCCAGAGAACATGGGAGGCTTCCCATGTTCTCATTTATTAGAATGGGGACAACACTGGGAGA